ACGACAAGCGATACTCCGTCTCAAAAAAACCAACCAACCAACCAAACAAAACAGCACAAGAACTTTTACATAATCTTTACATTGTATAAGGTATTATAAGTAATCTAGAGATGATTTAAAGTGTATGGGAAGATGTACACTGGCTATATGCAAATACCGTGCCACTTTGTATTGAGGATCTATGGAATTTGGTATTGGGAGGAGTGGTCCTGGAACCAACCTTGTGGATACCAAGGGCTGACTGTATCCACAAGTCATTTAAAAAATGTTATAAGGAGACAGAATGAAAGAAAAGACTCGTTTGAGAGAGGAATAAATGCTGGGAACAATTAGATAAAGCAGTAATGGTGGGGGAAGAAAAGGGAAGGAATTAGGCTGGAAAGTCAGGAGGAGGCAAAACCGATGATGAGAAGTTGCCCTGCGGTCTTGGCGGGGAGAGGACTAGGGGTCATGCTGCTGTGTGAAGGAGGAGACCCTCATGGAGGCCACAGTACAGTGCTTTCTTTGCCTTAAGCTCACCCTGATTATCAACATTTCTTTTGTAACCCCTGATCCTGTTTATTCCAATTATTGAACACATTCTTGTGCAAGTGAGGGTTTCTGAGGATAAAGACAGTGACTTTGTTCTCACCCTCCCAAAGCCCTGAGTGTGCTGGATGTGAGTGTTCTTATGAACTCTTGGATCCTGGTAAGCTTACAGGCATTTCCCATAGGCCAACAGTCAGTCACAGCATTTAGTCCTGGAAAACGGTAACTGCCACTCTGAGAAGGAGTGAGCAGGCTACAGAAGGAGGCATCTGACAAGAACCCTCTGCCTGGAGCCATGTTAATGGCTCTGTGAAGACACATTGCACACTTGCTATAGCCTCTTTCTCCATTTTTCCTCTCCATTGTCGTCTTGTTTTCTTAAGTAACATGCAAAAGCACTTCACTTTATTTATAAGGTATAAGAATCAGTTAATGAATGTTTCTTGATTTCCTGTGTATATAAGATATTTCCTAGACCAGTTGCTGATGCGTGTAAAAGAAGGAAGGGTGACAAAATATGTAGTTTAGTCAGGGAGACAGTCTACTTTCCATAGTTGAGCATATGGCTTCTCCTCGCTGCCTGATCAACACACTTTGATTCTTACAGCCTTCGCCTCCCTTGCTAAGCATACCTTGATTCAGGGCCCAGCGGGAGCAGGGCACGGGGATGAGTCAGTTGCACCCAACTCTGTATCACTAGAGGAGGAGTGTAATGTGTGTGCTGTTAGGAAAGAAGATGAGGGAATGGAGTCTGTGTGGGCAGCCAGCAAATCCCTTTCCCTGCCAGGTGTGCGGAGATGAGAGGCTAGACTGAGTGGTAACAGTGGAAGTGGAAAAGGAGGGAGGCTGTGGCTCCTTGGGATGAGTAATCCACAGGCTTTGTTAACTCGTTGATATAGAAGAGAGGAGGCGTGAGTGATGCATGACATTCCTGGGGGAATGTGCAGGTGGAGGCGTCCTGGATGCACCCACTTGCTTACTCCTGCTTCTCCTCCTGCCAGTAGCTCTGCTTTGCTCTCCCTCTGAAGCTTATCATTTTTGATATAAGAGTTCTTCACTGGAAACAAGCCCTGAGTGGCAATGGTAGAATGTCAGTGTCACTGAAGGCTGTTGTTAACGGTTTCACAATAGTTTTGGTTGGTTTATTTCTGTGTAGACCATAGCCCAGTGGCGTAAAGCTGGTTACCAGGACATGCCCGAGTACGAGAACTTCAAGCACCTTCTGCAGGCACCACTGGATGATGCCCAAGAAATTCTGCAAGCACGCTTCCCGATGCCACGCTACATTAACACGGAGCACGGAGGCAGTCAGGTGAGTGAGCTGAGCTCTAGCTCCAGTGGTTGGTTTTATGATAGATTGTTACGGCTATATATCCAAACAGGGTGGTTTTTTATGTGATGACATAAGTTGACACACAGGAATCTTCCAAATATGAGTTCTTTCTAAATGAATGGTCAAAATATGCTTGTGTAAAAGGATTGCCAAAATAAAATACGTATTTTATGTTTTAGGATACTTAAATGGAGAGCCAGTGGGCTTAAGCCAAAGAAATAAGTTACTGTGCAGTAAAACAATTCTAGTTTAACCAAAAAAAAGTTGTAAAAACTTACCTTTTTTCTGTTACACTAATTTTAATCTTTAAACGTTTTTTTGTTGTGTTGTTAAAGGCTCGATTCCTTTTGTCCAAAGTGAACCCATCTCAGACACACAATAACCTCTATGCTTGGGGACAGGTAAGAAATTGTCAGGTATTTGGGGAGGATGCCAAGCTAGTTTTTTAAAAAGTTGTTTTAAAATTCTACAAATTGGATCTATTTTGGCCTGGAGACAGAATAACTGCATAACTTGGGTATTTTGCCAGGGAGTAAGGAGGAGGGAAACAAGTTGAATAACACAGCTGGGCCGGAGGTTGAGGGGGGCTCCCTGTGTGGGTCCCCTTCCACAGTACACAGTGTAACTTACCAGGTTCAGGCCAGGGGACAGAGCACTGTACTGTGGCCGCCATGAGGGTCTCCTGCTTCACACAGCAGCATGACCCCTAGTCCTCTCCCTGCCAAAACCACAGGGCAACTTATCATCATCGGTTTTACCTCCTTCTCACTTTCCAGCCTAATTCCTTCCCTTTTCTTCCCCCACCATTACTGCTTTATCTAACTGTTCCCAGCATTTATGCCTCTCTCAAACGAGTCTTTTCTTTCATTCTGTCTCCTTATAACATTTTTTAAATTAAACTTTTATGAGATAACTGTAAATTTATATTGTTGTAAGAAATGATACAGAGAGAGATCAGCTATATCTTTTACCCATTTTCCTTTAGTGTTAACATCTTGCAAAGACTATTATATAGTATCACAACTGGGATATTGAGATTGATAAGGTCAACACGTGCAGCATTTCCATCAGCACCAGGATCTCTCATGTGCCCTTTTATAGTCACACCAGCTTCCCTCCTGCCTCTGCCCCCCACTGCCAGTGCCTGGCGGTTGCTCACCTGTTTACCATTTCTATAATTTTGTCATCAAGAATATTATGTATGAAGTCACACAGTCTATAACCTTTTGGGGTTGGCTTTTTTTCCCTTAACATAATCATCTAGAGAGTCATCTCAGGTTGTTGCATGTATCAAAAGTTTGTTCCTTTTTATTTGCCAAGTAGTATTCCTCAGTATAGATACATGTATTGCAGTTTGTTTGATCATTAACCCATTGAAAGATACCTGTGTTGTTCACAGTTTCTGGCTACTAGGAATAAAGCTGCTATAAACATTCATGTGCAGAAACCTTGTTATCTCTTTAAATCTTCATTTCTTTGAGATAAATGCCCAGGAGTACATTTGCTGGGTTGTATGGTAATTATATGTTTAGTTTTTAAGAAACTGCCAAACTACTAGCAATGTGTGAGTGATCCAGTTTCTCTGCATCCTAGCCATCGTTTGGTGGTATCATTTTTATTTTAGCCATTCTGGTAGGTATGTAGTGGTATATCATTGCAGGCTTTTTTTTTTTTTTTTTTTTTTTTTTTTTTGAGACGGAGTTTCACTCATGTTACCCAGGCTGGAGTGCAATGGCGCGATCTCGGCTCACCGCAACCTCCGCCTCCTGGGTTCAGGCAATTCTCCTGCCTCAGCCTCCTGAGTAGCTGGGATTACAGGCACGCACCACCATGCCCAGCTAATTTTTTTTTGTATTTTTAGTAGAGACGGGGTTTCACCGTGTTGACCAGGATGGTCTCGATCTCTTGACCTCGTGATCCACCCACCTTGGCCTCACAAAGTGCTGGGATTACAGGCTTGAGCCACCACGCCCGGCTTATCATTGCAGTTTTAATTTACATTTTCCGAATGACTGATGGTGCTGATAATCTTTTCATGTGCTACTTTGCCATCTGTGTATCTTCTTCAGTGAAATCTCTGTGTCTTTGGTTTGTGGTCTAACTGGATTATTTGGATTTTTACTGTTTGAGAGTTCTTTATATATTCTAGATACTACTTTTTCAAATATGTGGTTTGTAAATATTTTCTCTCACTTGTAGTTTATTAATTTTCTTTATAGGTTTATCCTATTTTGGTTTGCTCAGCTTTTTGCTTCTGTACGTTTATATCTCTTGCCAGAATAGGAAAATTTTCAGTCATTATTTCTTTGAATGCCTTTTCACCGAAAGAAGTGCTCTCTTTTCTTTCTTTCTTGACATCCGGTGACATGAATGTTAGATATTTTGCCATATCCCAGGTACTACATTTCCATGTATTTTCTTTGTTTTGTTCATTTGGGTAACTTCCATTATTTTGTCTTCCAGTTTATTGATTCTTTTTTCTGTTCCTTTTCTGCACTGAACTTATGCACTGAGCTTTCTGTTGGTCACTGTGTTTTTCAGTTACAAAATTTCCGTTTGATTCTCCATGTCTTCCACTTCTTTCCGGGGACATTGTTTTTCTTTGCCGAGGCTTCCTATTTTTTCATTTGTTCAAATGTGTTTGCAATTGCTCATGAAATATTTTTATCATGGCTGTTTCTAACAATTGTTGTCAACTCAGTGTTAACATGTGTCAATTGTCTTTTTTTTTTTGAGGCAAAGTCTTGCTCTGTTGCCCAGGCTGGGAGTGCAGTGGTGCAATCTCAACTCACTGCAACCTCCACCTCCCGGGTTCAAACGATTCGCATATCTCACCCTTCCAAGTAGCTTGGATTACAGGTGCTCACCACCACTAGCCCGGGCTAATTTTTGTATTTTTAGTAGAGACGAGGTTTCACCATGTTGGGCAGGCCGGTCTTGAACTCATGACCTCAAGTGATCTGCCCTCCTCAGCCTTCCAAAGTGCTGGGATTACAGGTATGAGCCATCGCGCCCAGCCTGTCAATTGTCTTTTTAAATTCAGTTGGAGGGCTTTGTATAAGTGATTTTTTGATTGAAAGTTGGACACTTGAGTATTTGTATGAGACTCTGGATCTTATTTAAAACTGCTACTTTTCACTGTTTTTTTCTTACACTACTCTGACAGGGAAGGTGGTTGCAAGGCTGAGTGGGGCAGTGGTGGGTTCCATTACCTCCAGGTGGAGAAGCCCAGATTTTCCACTGGCTTCTGTTGACACCGGGGAACACCTAGTGATTTCTCATTACTGCTTAGTGGGAATGGGAGTTCCAGCTCCCCCATAGCCTCCAGTGACGCCACTGTGGAGATGGCCTTGTTACATCTGGGTGACGGTGAAAGTCCTTACCCTCCACCAGGCGTCTGATACCATCCCAGTAGGCAGGGGTGGGATATGTATTTTTGCCAGGTTGGGCTGGAAGTCCACGCTCCACAGATGGCCTCTACTGACACCACAAGTGTAGGGGAATTTTCTACTGGCCATTGGGGATGAACTTCCTGGCTCCATACTTAGCCTTCTCTGCCACCATCCCAGTGGGAGTGTTGGAGTGCCTTGTTACTGCCTTGTGAGGGTGGAAACTTGAGCTGCCCACCCAGCTTTTGCTGATTCAGGTGGGTCAGGGCCATAGTTTTTTTTCATTTTTGCCTGGAGTACAGTGGTTATTATCTAAGATTGTTCTGTCTTGCTGGGCTGCTTTAGTCTTTTGGCTAGAGAAAGTGGATGCTTTTCATTGTTTTGTTTCGTTTTGTTTGAGTCTGTGCTCAGTGACAATTTGCCAGCTTCCTCACTTCCAAATCCAGAGTATATAAGGCAAAAAGGAAGCCCAAGGACTCACTGCTGTGTTGTTCCTTGGGTCTCAAGTTCTTTAATTTGTCTTCTGTCTTCTCTTCAGCTTTCAAGGCCTTCTTATGTTTGGTTTATATAAATGCCCAAGGTTTTTAGTTGTACTTAGTGGGAGGAATAGAGAAAAGTATATCTTCTACTCCTTTTTCTTTGAAATCCTCTGAAAACATTTTGATCATGCTTATATTTTTCTAATTATAACAGCATGGTTTCATTTTAGAAAATTTGAATATGTTTAAAGAAATAAAAGTTAGATTACCTAGAACGGTTATCTAAAGAGTTAACTATTTCCAGCATTATTCTGCATAATATAAAGTGTATTAATGTTTGTGTGTGTGTGTATATATATATTTTCTTTACAAAATTGGAATCTTACTATAAATTGAGGTTTCTATTCTATTTTTTCCCATAACATTAATACAATTATAAGCTTTTTCTGATATTTGAAACATCCATCCATTCAGTGGAGATACTGGTTCACTCATTCATGGGTACACCATTATCCAGCTTCTGTTGTAAGCAGAGCACTTAAGAGGAAGGGTGGGTGTGTAGGCCTCTGTGAGCTTACATTCTTGAGGAGCTAGACTCTGGGTACGTCATCAGGGTTGTGGAGAAGAGGGTGAAGTAGAAGGCCTTATGCTTAAAACTAGCAGGTGCTGGCAGCCTGATCTCAGTGTATCAGGAAAGAGTTTTGTGAGGAAATTGTGCTTTAGTTGAAAGAAGTCGTCAGTAAGGCAGAGGATGAGGTTATGGGAGTACTCGTAGCAGAGGGGACAACACCTGTGAATGTTCTGAGGGAAGGCACTTGACAGCTCATGAATTCTAAACAGCTTCTAAGATTTCTGCCAACTAATCTTTATCATTACGTTTCAGGAAACTGGAGCACCCATCCTAACTGATGACGTTAGCCTGCAGGTGTTCATGGACCATTTGAAGAAGCTGGCTGTCTCCAGTGCTTGTTAAGCTGATGTGGCCAGGAAATTGAAGAGAACGGTGTCAGATCTTGTTCAAAATGTCTGTAAAGGCTTAATAACATTCCTGTTACTTTTCTAGCAGATTTTAACAAATAATTAAGGAAATTTTGTATGTAACTCTTTAGATTATAATTTATTTGTATTCCATGTCTTTCTCTCTTTTCTTGCACTATAAAATTATAAGGTCATAAATGTTTTGGTACTTGTAGATGTTTATGTGCGTTTTGTATCCTAACTTTTAGAATCTCAATAAAATCAGAGGTAAATATATTTTGGCAACTTGTTTAAGTAAGATTCTTAATGATTATAAAGGAAATAAATCTAGATGCAGAAAACACTGGCTAAAATATTGCTAATGCAAATGTGATTTCCTGAGGTCTCTATGTGAGTGTGTATGTGCTTTAAGTGACTTCCTCAAGAAGTGTTTCCTGAACTTAATCCTCATAATTAAAGTAATATATATGCAGGATCAAAATGAAACAAATACCTTATACTAAAGAGCTTATAACAAATAAGAAGTTACCTCCATTGCCTAAGCTCAAACCCACTTTTTGAAGATAACTGCTTTTAACTTCTCCTTACAAGATTTTTGTTGATGTATTTTTTAGCCCATATCTCAATTCCCATTTTCAAAGAATCAAAATATTGAGACTTTTCTGTCTACCATCCAGTTATTATTTGTATATTATCAAGATTGGTAAAATTTATATTCCGGGTCAGATACATGGCTCACACCTGTAATCTCAGTGCTTTGAGAGGTCAAGGCAGGAGACTCACTTGACGCTGGGAGTTTGAGACCAGCCTGGGCAACATAGTGAGACTGTCTCTACAAAAAATTTTATAAGTTAGTGGGCCATGGTGGTGCGTGACTGTAGTCCCAGCTACTTGGGAGGTGAAGGCAGGAGGATCACTTGAGCCCAGGAGTACAAGGTCACAGTGAGCTATGATCATGCTACTGTACTCCAGCCTGGGTGGAAGAGCAAGACCCGGTTTCAGGAAAAAAAAAAAATTGTATTCTGGCCTATTATATTTTTTGTCACTAAATTGACTGTGAAAACTGAAAGCTTCTAAGACGCATTTGCACAGTCATGATGATGTAAATATTGTTCAAGTCCAAGCAAGGTAGGATGACATTTTTCTCCAGGGTGCTAGTGTCCCGATCAGTCCCTATGCCACTTGTAGGAAAACATTCCAAAGGACAAAATCAGAGTTACTTTTGGCATTTCATCAGGCCGTATGTTGGCTTGCTCCCTATTTGGATTATGATCTCTTAGATTTGCTATGGTTTTCCCCAGAATTTCTAAGTTTTGTATGCTTTTTGAAAGAAGAAATATTTTGTTCTGTTTACTAGAAATTCTAGCTTATTCTACTGAATGAAGTCCTTTTTTTTTTTTCTTCTTTGGAGGTCACTGATGTCCCTTTTTAATGGGGGCCAATCACTTTGACCTGCTACACAACTGTCATCCAGGAATTTCTTCTGTTGGGAATCTTGGGTTAGTTCCACTCTTCCCTTTATTCCATAAGGCATTTTGCAATCTCAAATGACTTACTAAAAGGAGTACTTGGAGAGAACTCATTGGATCTAAGCATATCTACAAATCTATTCTGTCTTCATACTTTATGACTTTGCCAGGTAATATGGTTTGGATATTTGTCCCCTCCAAGTCTGTCATTGAAATGTAATCCCCAGGATTGGAGGTAGGGCCTGGTGGGAAGAGTTTGGGTCATACTGGTGGATTCTTCATGAATGGTTTGGTGCCATCCGCACAGAAATGAGGGAGTTCTTGTTCTGAGTTCAAACGAGGTATAGTTGTTTAAGAGTGTGGTGACTGGAGACTGTGGCTCATGCCTATAATCCCAGCACTTAAGGAAGCTGAGGTGGGTGGATCATCTGAGGTTTGGAGTTCAAGACCAGCCTGGCCAACATGGTGAAACTCTGTCTCTACTAAATATATAAAAGTTTGTATTCCCAGCTACTCAGGAGGCTAAGCACAAGAATGGCTTGAACCCGAGAAGCAGAGGTTGCAGTGAGCCAAGATCATGGCACTGCACTCCAGCCTGGGTGACAGTGAGATTCCATCTCAAAAAAAAAAAAAAAAAGTGTTAACCTCCTCCACCTCCTCCTCTCGTTTTGCATTGTGATACATCGGCTACCTCTTTAACTTCTGCCTTGACTGTAAACTTCCTGAGGCCTTCACTAGCAGCAGATGCTGGCACTTTGCTTCCTATACAGCCTACAGAACAGTGAGCCATAAACGTAAACCATAAACCTCTTTTTAAAATAAATTCCCAAAAAATAAAAAGTAAATTGCCCAATCTCAGGTGTTCTGTTATAGAGATGCAAAAACAGACTAACCCATTGGGTTTAAAGGTATATGCCCAAGATAATCTCAGAACTTTGGAGCCATTATTTCATTAATTCAACAAAGAAGTATCCAGTACTTGTCTATGGAGTAGTCTTCTAGGCATTGAGAATATTGCCAATGAAAAAAAACTACTGTTTTCATAGAGTTTATGCATTAGTTAGGGAAGTCCACCTATAACAGTGTTAGAAGTAAATGATACTGGGCCGGGCGCGGTGGCTCACGCTTGTAATCCCAGCACTTTGGGAGGCCGAGGCGGGTGGATCACGAGGTCAAGAGATCGAGACCATCCTGGTCAAAATGGTGAAACTCCGTCTCTACTAAAAATACAAAAATTAGCTGGGCATGGTGGCGCACGCCTGTAGTCCCAGCTACTCGGGAGGCTGAGGCAGGAGAATTGCTTGAACCCGGGAGACGGAGGTTGCGGTGAGTCGAGATCGCGCCATTGCACTCCAGCCTGGGTAACAAGAGCGAAACTCCGTCTCATGCGCAGAAAAAAAAAATAAAAAAAAGAAGTAAATGATACTGCTGGCACGGTGGCTCATGCCTGTAATCCCAGCACTTTGGGAGGCCAAGGTGGGCAGATCACCTGAGGTCAGGAGTTTGAGACCAGCCTGGCCAAAATGGTGAAACCCTGTCTCTATTAAAAATACAAAAATTAGCCGGGTGTGGTGGCACACGCCTCTAATCCCAGCTACTTGGGAAGCTGAGGCAGGGAGAATTGCTTGAACTCAGGAGTGGAGGTTTCATTGAGATAGTGCCACTGCACTCCAGCCTGGGTGACAGAGTGAGACTCTGTCTCAAAAAAAAAAAAAAAAAAAGTAAGTGATACATTAGAAGGTAATGAGTGCTATGTAGGAAAATGAAGCTGAAATCTCCTATTAATTGGATATTGGACCAGCTGGATTGATTCCGATACTCTATCTTTTGAATTTGTATTTGAATACAGGTTATGGTATTTCTTTTTGTCTCTGCCCTACATTCTAGCAGTTTCCTGTCTTAAAATGTTGAA